AAGAAAGATAAAATTTCAGCTTTTATCGTTGAGAGAGCTTTTGGCGGTGTCACCAGCGGCAAACCTGAGGACAAACTGGGCATCAGGGGCTCCAACAGTAAGCTCTCCATGAGTTTGGAGAAAAAGTTGAACACTGAGTCTGAGCCTTTTCATGTCCTGTGTAATAAAGCTTTTAAACTCTTTCAGCTTGTGAAGTGACCTTTGACAATGTCCCTGTGCCGCTGGAGAATGTAATAGGAGAAGTAGGAGGTGGATTCAAAGTAAGTTTGACAAACTGTTGTATGTGACTGTTTCTGTAAAGCTGCTTAAATGTTTGCTTTGTGTTGGACAGATTGCCATGAATATCCTGAACTCAGGGAGGTTCATTATGGGCAGTTCTTTAGCTGGAATGATAAAAAAACTGATAGGTAAAATCCCTGCACAGCAGCTCAGAGCTTATGTGTGCAGGTTTTATGAAATGTCTTCAGTTTGACACCTCTGTCTGACTCTGTAGAAATGACCTCTGAGTACGCTGCCACCAGGAAGCAGTTTAACAAAAGCCTGAGTGAGTTCGGTCTGATTCAGGTACAGTCGACTTTTCCGTCACTAGAATCTAGTGAATATTCTCTATCTCTACCTCGAAAATCAATGAGTGAAACAGTCGTTTGCCCTGTGACTGTAGGAGAAGTTTGCAGTGATGGCCCTGAATGCGTTTGTAATGGAGAGCATGGCATACCTGACAGCAGGGATGATGGACAGGCCAGGACTTCCAGACTGTTCTGTAGAGGCCGCCATGGTCAAGGTTAGATAGCCAGCTCATTACACTTTGCTCATGTTAAACCGGCATAAAATAAACAGCCCATGATGTGTATTCTCTGTCCTCTGACCAGGTGTTCAGCTCAGAGGGAGGTTGGATTTGTGTCAGTGAAGCACTGCAGGTCCTCGGAGGTCTGGGTTATACAAAGAATTACCCCTACGAGCGCTATGTCAGGGACTGCCGCATCCTGTCTATCTTTGAGGTTCTCTGATGATTATTCAATCACTACAATCAGGGCCATAGTTACACCACACATCATGTGTACAGAGGAGTTCACATTCTTCAGTTATACTCATTTCACAAGTTGAGTTTTTACAGGCTGACATTTTATTAAGTAATTTTACAAAAGAAACCATAACAAAAGGGATGTAAAGAAAAGTCTGTTACAACATTTAGACCATCATTCTGGAGTTTGGTTGGTGCTGAGTTAAAAAAAATCCTGTATTTCTAACCTCCAGAGTGAAAGCACAATGTACTGTGGCCCACTTGTTCAGGTGATCCACTCTGTAAGTGACCACCAGGTGGCACGTTTGACTTTGACATCACAGGGATTCAATTGACCACATAGATAGATACTTTACAGGGGAAATTCAGGTATCCAGTAGCAACAGCAATAATTACCAAAATCACAGCACAACAAAATCAAGAATTGTATAAAATCTAGGTCTAAAATACAAAAAAGAAGTATGATGATATGAGTATAGAAATATAAAAATTTATCAGCATGTTCCAAGTATACAGTATTCATAAGTTATACATAAAGTAAATGTGCATAAAATACCTGTGTGCAAATGCCAATATGTGCAAGAATGTGTGTTACATAACAGTAAGCACTGCAGTAGTATAGTGTCATTGTCAAGTAGGCTCATAATAATATGGAGCTGAGAAAAAACATCATAAGTGCCATTCACTGCTGCACCACCACTTGGTGTATAATGCATGTGAAACTGATAGTGTGCCATTAAAAGCGTGTGTTGTTTGATTTCAGGGAACCAATGAAATCCTGAGGATGTACATTGCTCTCACTGGAATGCAGCACGCTGGCAAAATCCTCACAGGGAAAATAAAGTAAGAATATGAAGGTTGGACAGTATAAAGCTGGAAAACATATAATACTGACACAGTGACAGTACTGGGCACAGGTTTCTGTTTCTTCACGTAATCCCAGATCTACTCCATGATGTAGAGGTCAGGACTCAGGTGCAAATGCTTTGTTCTCCTTGTCTCTGGAGATAGTTCTTTATCACT